GGGCTGCGGCCCCCCGCCTCCTGCTCGGGCGCCGCTTGGGTCAGCGGGACAAGGAGCTGTCACGGCCGCCCCGCGGACACGCGTGTTCCCCTCTGTGCAGCAGTTCCTGCGCCTCCGCGGCCCTGCTGCCGGCGTGGCCGAGCGCTTCGGCCGGTGCCCTGCACGCCAGGGGCAGGACGCGCACCCACCTGGCCTGGGCGGGGTTTAAGTAGTGACTCAAAGTCTGTTAATTGCTTTAATCAGCAAGCAGTGCAAGCAAGGGTCCCCGTGGTTTCTTCCACGCGTTCCACTGCTAAGTCTTCCCGTGCTGTGGGTGGGGTGAGCGCGGACTCCACTGAGGAACGTGGTGCCGCTCCCAGCCCCCGGAGCAGGCAGCCCTCGGGGTGGGGGAGCCACCCTGCGCGGCCAAGCAGGCTGGACCCTGGGGGGAGCCTCAGCCCGGGAACCTGGGGGAAGCTCTGGAATGTCTGAGAAGAATCACAGAATGGTTTGGGTTGAAAGGACCTTTAAAGGTCAGCTAGTGCCACCCACCTCCCGCTAGAGCAGCCTGAAGAACTTTTGAGTGGTTACTGTTTTGGTTAAGACTGTGACTCTTATCTTGGCTCAAGAATTGCAGAAACCAGCGTTTATACAATACGTAGGTAATGCATAAGGCTTGTCAGACGCCTGTGTTCATCAGACAAGGAACCTGCTTCTGGATTACAAAAGTGTGTTGATAAGTTATCTTGAACCATCCTAATAATAGGTTGTTATTTCCTTTGATAGGGCTGGGCAGGAACACAAAGCACATGACTAAAGAGCAGGGTGATTCCAGCTGTGAGGGACTGCCAGTTACCCAGACGTGAATCCTGTTTAGAGACCTGCTCTGTTTTTCCCTTGTACCCCTGGGCAGCACTGAGTAGTTAAGGAGCTTGGCTGTATCACGGCACAGGCGCCCTTGGGACGGGCTTGTGGGTGGCTCCTGTCCTGCCGTTCTGTGGTTGGGCTGAGGACAGGGCAGAGCCAAGTGCTGTCAACCCCTCGGGCGCATGTGACCGACAGCCAGCGTGCCACGGGAAGGCTGGGTGCTGCCCAGGGGGGTTGGAGCTGGCTGCCTGCAGTGTCCAAGCTCACCAAGCTGTGATGCAGCCAGCTCTGGTAGGTTTACGTTATCTCTGTGAGGGACAGTCTAACTGGGCCTTAAGTATCTGTGCCTGAAACACACTTGCTGTTTCTTCCAGCAATCACAATACTCAGCTATTTTATCTTTTTTCAGCAAAGAATCGAAATACATAAGCTTCGTCAGGGTGACAATTTGATTCTGGGATTCAGCATTGGAGGGGGCATTGATCAGGATCCTACTCAGAACCCTTTCTCTGAAGACAAGACTGACAAGGTCAGACGCTTTGTTTTGTGCAGCAATTCTCTCTGCAAAGGCTGAGCATACCCAGCTCAGCCAGCCAGCTCCACTCACTTGCGTCTGTGCTCTGTCCTCTCCCATAGCTATTTTACTCTGCCATGTTATCATTTGCAGGCTGAGCTTGCTTTAAGTTAGCTTTCTGCCGTTTCTATTTTCCAACATTGCACAAACCTGTTTTTAACTGAATTCCATAATACACTACAAAGTATTTTTGCGCTGTCCCATCTTTAGCAAATGACCGCTGACTTTTTTCCAGGGTATCTATGTAACAAGGGTGACAGAAGGAGGTCCAGCAGAAGTTGCAGGACTTCAGATTGGAGATAAGATCATGCAGGTAAACACCAGGACGAGTACTAACGTGGTACTGGGTGCACACTACAGAGACATTTCTGCTGGGGGAAATGCTGCCTCCTGGGCACTTCCCAGGATAGTCTGTGGGGTTTATAAACTGAGCTGTGGCTTAAGCATCTCTACTACATAGTTCCAACAGAACAGTTACAGGACAGCTGCGAGTCCATGCACCTGCCTCATTTTGTGTTTTTTCCCTAGGTGAATGGCTGGGATATGACAATGGTGACCCATGACCAAGCTAGGAAGAGGCTGACTAAAAGGAATGAAGAAGTGGTACGGCTGCTGGTGACCAGGCAATCCCTGCAGAAGGCTGTGCAACAATCCATGATGTCCTAATCAATCAAGTTGGGGAAGGGTTGGGGAGGGAGATAAATAGACTGGTATCAAGCAAGGAAACAAATGCTAGACCTGGACAGGTTGTCTGGAAGGAGGACATGTACCTAACTGTGGTAAACACTTTTTTTTTTTTTCTTTCTTTCCTTTCTCTGGTTTAACTGGCAGTAGTAAAACTCTACTCCCCCCAGCAAGAGTGCTTCTCTAAAGTCTTCCCTGCAGGTACACGGTTAAGACTTTATTATATAGTCATGGCTTTGAGGAGGACAGGACAAACCCCATTTATGTAAGGGAGCAACTGGAAAAGCCTTAACTTTGACAGGATTCTTTTATAGCACAAACCAGGAAATGTGGTTTCTGCTATGGAAGGTAAGAGGATTTGCTGTGCTTAAGCTTTTAGAAGTGAACTGTCCTGTCCTGCTATCAAATTAGAATGCCAGCATTAAGAGTTGCACACTGCTGTGGGGAGCAACACTGTACTAATCCCACACTGTGTGCTAGCTAGCTAGAGTATGCCGAAGGGTTTGGGGCATTACGGCTTACTGCAGAGATTCCCTGTGCAAAGCAGCCTCTTCAGACAAGAAACAATTAAGTAACACAGAAGTGTTAGATTAATGCCTGTGAAGCACACTAGAAGTTCACACACACTACAGTTCAACTGCACTGTCAGAGTAAAAACTTTCCTTGTTCCCAAGTAATTTGTAACATCAAGTGAATCAAGTTTAAATGAAAGGAATATGGAGCAGGAAAGAAAACACTATTGCTGAATTTAAAAAAAAAAGAGCTGCTTGTAGCTGTAATCTTTGGTTCTTCATTCCACTCTTAGCAGACTTGAGGTGGGAGGGGTAGATTTTGGTCTGTCTTCTAGAAGACTGCTTAAATCACTGATTTATTGGATGGAAGAGATGAATATGCCAGTAACTTGCAAAAGTGCCTCTTGACCAAACTTAAACTTCTGGTAAGATGTTTCAATCTACATGCCACAGGATTTAAGATCCTTGCTGCAACACTGAGTTAATTATCTAGCATCCTCGTGGTTTGTTAACCAGCTAGCTTTACAGTTATCCAAAAACTGGAGTTCTCAATCCCCATCAGTTGATTTTATACACTATCTATACTTTCCTTTAGCAGTCTTCAGGTAAGCTGTTGTAAATAGAACATGAGGAGGTGGCAGACTAACTTATTCAGTACATTACTGCTGTGCCATGTATGTATGTTGTGATTGATGCATCTCAGACACACCAGCAGATGCCTATTTACCATTTTTTATAATCTATGGAATTATTACAATCCTGCTTTTCAATTTTGTAACTTAAAAGTTCAGTGGTAAAATTTTAAGGCTTTCAAGTTGAAGTTATTTTTGTTACTATAAAGATACACTGCTATTTGTACTGCTATTTCACTTGATTTTACACACAATAAAACAAGAGTTTGATTTCCTGAGCTGTTTCTCCTAACATTAAGAATGCTACTTCACTTGACTGCCTCTGGCTGAGACCTTCTTTCTGGCTCAGAGTGGATTGTGGACTACATCAACACACTGCAGTCTGAGGTTAGTAAAGTCTGGTTTTACTGGGGGGGAGTTGCAGTGTTAGTGAGCTGTTAAATCATCTGGTCTCTAGCAGGGGGAGAAGGGGCTCTAGTTTTTATGTTCACACCTAGTAAGACAGAGTAGCTTTTAAGCATTCAAGTAAAGTACAAATACATGGATTCCTTTCTGGTTTTTTAAAGGGTATAATGCTTATCTCCAAGTAACTCAAGACCTTGATCTCTACCTAGAACAAACCACATGTAGTTATGAAGTTGTCCGGGAACAAAAATGTGTTTAATTATGGGGCTGTTAACATGATACACTTAAATAATCTCTTTGATAAATCTTTAATCTTTACCATCCACCATTTAGGATTCAAGGCATGTCAGTAGAACTGAGCAAAATGAAGTTAGTGCACTAGAAGTATTCAGATAAATCTGAACATTTGCCTTAGCACCTTTGAAAGATCTTTTAGTGAGAAGAATAGTTTCTGCTTCTTAGTTTTCTTTTAATAAAGAGCTCAGGTCCTAATATTCATGTATTATTTGCTACTAACTTCATTATTCTTTTTTATGTGCCACTACATCTGTTAACAGCCAACCTGAGTGGTGTTTTACTGTGATCTGTCTGTGGAGTCAGCAGCAGCACTTTGATACACAGACAGTCTTTGGTCTTTACATTAAAATATTAAGTGGTTGCTTAATCATCTCAGATTTTTGGAAGCCAGAACTTGGCTCTTTGTGCTTTGCTTCCAGTCAGAAAGATATTACTCTGGTCTTTCTCTTCCCTGTTAATGTTGCCACATGTTGCTTGGACAGCTCATGCTAAGCTGTCTGCAGCTGCACAGGCATGAGTCTTCCAAGTGGTGGCTGGAGAGCTTGTTGTCCTTTAAGGCATCTGGCAGTCAGCATTTGGCAAGGCAACAGCTTGTATTCCATACCAGAGAGTATCAGAGTAAAAACAGAGATCAGGATCTGCAGTTCTAGTAACTGGCAGTTGGCATCTTGAAAGCCCTCAGCCAGGGGAGGGGCAAGTTCAATTTAAAGTTGTTGTCTTCACAAGTGATGTTATTCACAACGTTCATACCCTTGTCTCCTATAAAGGCAGTAGTGCTGGACCATAAAAACAATATCGAAGACAATGGAAAAGACACCCAGGCCAAACTTGGTTGGATCTCCAAAGATTAACTTCCACTGATCTGTCAAACACAAAATTAGAGAGTTTAGATTGAGTGTAAAGACTAGAAGGTCATGCTGTACATATTAGAGAAGTTCATGGTTATTATTTGGATTGCTTAGACACACCTTAAGACTGAGTATAGCGTACATCTTATGCAAAGCTAATTAATAACTGTTCCTGTGGTGTCTTCAGAATAGCTATTTCTTTTTCAGTCTCGAATATTAACAGATTCTTTATTCTTAATGTAACAGCAGCTTGGGAGAACATTGTCCTAAGATAACCTACCAGTTTATATCTGCTTTGTAGCAGGATTCTCTCACCCCATTAAGAAAGGCCCTACCACCTCAGTTCCAGCCTTACCATTGTTGTATGACTGAAGAAACATCTGGAGAAGGCTGAAGGTTCCACCAGTGAAGTCCAGTAATACATTTCCAATACTCCATCCCTCAGTACTCTTCCGACGGAAATTCATGTATGCCTGGGGGTGTAACAAGAAAGTCAGTCAGCAGGTCACGTACAAGCAGTTCTGAGATTAACATTTAAGAAGACTTCTTGTGTAACTTTTGTCACTAAAAGACTTAAATAGTCATTGCTGGTTTAGTCTAGTCAGACTTTGAAGAGCTTATGCTACAGGCTTAGGATGACAGGAACATACTATAAAAGCAGAAAAGTTCAGATTTACCTGTGGAAAATATTTTATCAGTGTGACTGCTAACTTAATGTAAGAGAAGCAAAATAAGAACTGTAGCCATGTCATTTCCTCAGCTGCAGCAAGAAAGAGTATCGTAAATGTGAAGATCCATGCAAGTGCCAGTAGTCCAACAACAACTTTGGATACTTTCTGACCTGCTCTCTGAAAGAGAAATGCAGATACACTTAGACTGACCCAGGTCATACATCCTCAGACACAGAGATACAGAATATGCTCAGGACTACACAAGGTTACCATCCAGACCTGTTGTTGTACCAGTTAGGCTCATACCACAAGGGAATTTTAAGATTAAATGAGTGCTACAGCAACCAGCTATAGGTTTAAGAGCTGAAGAGCAATATTCAATCATTTGGAACACTACTGTTCATGAGTAAGTGGAAAACAATATTGTGGCAGTATTTTTGAGTATATGTGATACCCATTATCTGTGACACATCTCTAAACTTCCTGAGTTCAATTTAATAATAAGAATTTCTAGATATGCAAAAGTCTGCTAATGCCATTATGGTAAAAGATTCATGGTTGCCTTTGTTTCTTCACTAAAAAAGACTGGCACCTAGCAGTGGTGACAAATGGGCTGTTAAGAGTCTTAAGTTTATCATCACTGTAGGAAGTACCCCAAAACATAAATGCTTGCTGTCTAGAGAAAGTCAACTGTTCAGATCAGAGGCTTTTACAATAGGGGTTAAAGAAACAGCTGACTATTACAATCAGTCTTACCCAAAAAAGGGTAGAAATTATAAAAGGGCCCTTGCAGCTGTTTTAGGAGAAAAGAAGTTGAAACAGAGCTGAAAGTTTGAATTGCAGGGAATCCCTAAGGACCTGTCCTAGCTTGAAGAATGGTCCCAGTAGTGAGGAGACAGGAAAGCACATACCAGCATTTGTACTGTGTAAAGCTGTAACCTGTGTGCAGGCTAGGCCTCTGTTTGGGAACTTCATGAACTTGGGTGTTTGCCTTAGTTGTTTTGAGTCCCTAATGAGTTTACTTATAAGCTCATCCATGAGGCTGAAGTAGCTAAGCTTACTGGAGTTGCTACTAGCTCAGGGAAGATGAAGGCAGCTGGACTGCAAAGCCTGACTTCTTGAAAGGCCAGTGCAAGTGCAGTGAGGACTCAGGGGCCCAAAAGAAGGGGATGGTGAGAGGCGAGGCATCTGGCAGAGGGAGCTCAGGCAGAGCTGACAGGTCAGACCAGCACTTACCTCATAGATGCAGCACTGAATTACAGTGAGGAGAGTCACAGCTACTGCATGGAGACTGAAGAAAACATCATTGACAGCCACAGGGTTCACCCCACTGGGATAACTGACTAAGAATTCCTCCTAGATGTAAGAGAAACCCAGAACCAGCCAAATGCCTTAACTCCCTTCTGTAGACAGACACCCCCACCCCCCCCCAGCAAGTATTAAGAGATAATCATGCTTACCTTAATCAAGGGAATCCAGAAGAGTCCAACATTAAATACACTGTATGCTATAAAGCCAGTGAGGTTTAATGCTATAAAGTCAAAGCTTAGTCCAACAACACTAGCAAGGGGGGGGAAAAAAAAAAAAATATAAGAAATATGCAGGGACAACTTGACACTAGAATGTACCAATTTATAGGCAATTTTTGATGTAAGCCAAAGCTGCAGGCATTGTGACAACATGATGCTGTGAGTTCACCAGAAAGCAAGGTGAAATCTCTCACAGGCCATGCACTGGTACTCACAGCAGGTCTCACTGACAAGGTTGTGTCCCTGCTGTTTAACTGCGTGAGCTCACCTAGTCTGATAAAACCACCCCAGTCTGAACCCACAGAAGCAGTAGTGCATCTCTGCCAAAACAAATGCTTTAGTTTTCACATATAATAATGTTTTTACTTACAGTCCCTTAATTTGAAGGGAGCTGGCCTAACAACAACATTGCAAGGAACTGTCTGATAAGCAGCTTATAAGGGTAAATAACCTTTGAAGGTGGTCATCAAAATCGGCTCAGTCAGATGATCTACAACATGACACCAAAGGGAATGGGGAAGTTTCCTCTATCACAAATCAGTATTGGATGCCAAAACATAGGATTAGGTGTCTATAAGCTGCACCTAGTTTCCTCTGACCTGCATGCATAAAATCTCACTGGGGCTGCATTTATTCAGGCTCTATCTTTGCTTTGCTTTTCCCCCTGCCCCATCTTTCCATGCATATCAAACAGCCAAGATGGATGTAACTGAAGCTAGGAACATGATTTGCAGAAGTGCTTAAGTGACTTGCAAACACATCTTAAGTCTCTTTACCTCTTTCGTCGCCAGTTCTCGAAGAGTTGAGGATAGAAGGAGATAGACCAGGCGAGGAAATAGATCCAGCCAATCACTTCATCAGCATACCGCACTATGACGCTATGAATCACTTGAAATTGAATCCTAGGTCTGATGGTTAATGCAAACAGAATTAGTTAATTTGTCTGTTCATACTTTTTTCAGCAGATTTTCCCTTGTTCTGCTTTGAGAAAAAAAAAACACTCCTGATGTTGAGACAAGACAATAAAGATTCAGAATTTGTTTCAGTAGAGTTGCTCCCCTTTTCTTTAGTGTCCTTATTATGTTTAGGGCATCTCCCACTCCTACTAACCTATCCTTTCCTTCTTGTCTCCCTCCTTCCATTCTTTTACCACAGAAATCATCAAAAAGGTCATTGTGTGCCTACGGCTTCCACTCTCTTAGCATGAGGTCTGTTACGCAAGAGCAGAGTTTCACTTTTCACACTGTCAGCAAACCCTCAAGATCATGCTTGTCCTGTTGAGCCTTTCATGTGCTTACCACTTGCATTTGCTTTGAATCTTAAAAGCAGAAGCAAAATGAGGAACTAAACCAAGAGTATCCTGTTGTTCAGTAGCATCTGGGCAACAAACATAATCCAGCTTTCTCCATCTTGCTGGACTGTTGTCCTATAAGGCATACTGGCATCCATGAGGGCTCCCCTAACTAGAAAGCAACTACCTACAGCAACTACTAGAAAGCAAAACACCAGTATCTCATGGTAGTGACATGGGCACACAGCCGCATCAGGCTATTAGCACTCCAGAACAAGTCTTGCACAGTGAGAAGAGCATCCATTTACAACCAAATGCTTCCCAGATCAGAAAAGTTGATAACATAGTTTTGATACTTTTGGAAGGGGTTATTAAAACCAGACTAAGAAGCCAGAAGAGCTCAGAGTCATCTAGTAATGAAATCTAAGATACCAAGGCTATCACTCTGCTACCATACCCTGTATTTATCCGAATACCTTGGGGATTGCTGGAGGGTCACCTCATCTTCTCACCTACATACCACCCATATCCATTAACTATTTTAGGAGGGAATAGTTACCCCAAAGTTTAAGAAGCTGTAGGATAGTAAGTGGAACTAAAAACCAGTTTCTCACCCAGTTAAGTTGAAATTAATGGTATAAAGATAAACTGTTACTTGTCCAACATCCTCTGCTTTCACTTGGAAGTCTGCTTTAGTGTGACCTGCAGGCAATTGTACCTGCAAGGCAAAGGGGAGGAAATAAAGAGGAGAATTGCACCATGCTAACGGAAGGCTTTTGCGTAAGGTCCGAACTCTGTTCTGTCACTTACTTCATCAGGCAGTTCAATAATGGTGCTGTGTTTTGAGGAGTGTGTAATATTAAGCATTATCACCAGTGTCTCATTTAGTGGAGCCCTGTGAAGGCAGAAAAAGCAAGTCAGGCTGGTGCCAGTGTTTACAAAGATTGCTTCCTGGCTGCATGAGTGTATCTGCTAAATCCTCACACCTGTTGCAAACATAATGAGCAGTTCATACTCAGCAGTACTTACCTGGTACTCTGAGGAACATGAGCACCGAAGTATATTCGCATTGTACTATTTCTTTTCTCTGAACTAGTGATGGGCACTAGACAGCTAGATGGCCACACTTTACCTCCTTCTCCAAACAAGTGGCAGAGTCATTGCCACCAGAATCCTATCACTGCACTTGTTAACCCCTTTGCTGGTAAAGAGGGGCAGACGTGATGGACATGTACTTGGGGTGATGAGGCTCAGACGTTATAGCAGTGCAGTAAAACAAAACCAAAAAACTCTAAAATAAAAACCTGCTAAGTGACACAGTCCTGTACAGCTTTTCCTGAGAACTCCACTGAGCATCTGACCAGGAGGTTTAATTGCACAGCAGTACCTAAAATATCATAAGGTTCAAATGCCCATACTTGTCCATGAACAAGGTTACAGTACCACATCTTTCTTTGTAAAAATAAAGTTCTAGACTGTTGCAGCCATGTTTTGGTATTTTCCTCTTTATCATAATTCTTACATTTTCATCTATTCCCTTTACTTGGACTTTAAGATCCCAAAGGGGAAGGGTACATGTGTTTAACAATCCTTTCCTGGGAAGAGGCTGACATAGCAGAAACATGAGTAAACAATGCACTGTATTAAACAATGACACTAAGGTCCATCAGCCCCCACTGCAGAGTATCTGCATTTTTTTGCTAGAAATGACAAGTTATCTTTGCTTGGTAGTTTTTTGTTGATGCTTCCAGGAAATGCAAGTCTCTCAAGCATCAATTTTTAAAAATGGAGGAACCGTAAGTTCATTTATGGAAGAGATTCAATAAGCTAATATAGGATAGACAGTATAAAACTGCTTTTCTTGCTCAACTTTTCACATAAATGACATAGGCTACTGTCAGAGGCCAACAATACAAAGCTGTTTATGAAAATGCTGCACTATCTTGGTGCATCCTTGCACTAAGCAATATAATAGTCTAGAAGTGGCCAGTCACACCAATGAGATTCACTTTGTATGAACAATTCACTGAGCCTGCAGGAAATTCTTAAGTATACAGCCAAGTCCTACCCACTTGCTTGTCCCTCGTTACAGAGACAGTAAAGATGCAATCGCAATTTTACCTCAGAAAGATAGTGACGTTTGTTGAACTTCCACTTTCTAATGAAACCACTTCAGGGACAGACAATACGACGACTCCATCTGGGGGGTGAAAAAAAAGCCAAACATCCAAAAAACCCTACACAAATCTCAATTACTATGGATGATGAATAGCTCCTTCAAAAGAACTACCTACTTTCTTTCGTGATAGAGTCATTTTGTCCATTGGTACCTGCAGTGTCAGATTAACAAAATTAGTACACTTGATAAATATCAAAGACAGTACAGTTTATCCCAAGGCGACTAAACAACTTAAAAAGAGAAGTAAACAATTGTCACTTGGACGTGTTGCAAGAAACGATTTCAAATATTTGAAGCACAACAAAAGTTCATGCCACGAGAAAACTATAAGGATAATTGCAACCCACGCTAATTGTTTCTTGATGTGATCCTAGTAACTTAGAAGTCGCAAATGCCAAATATTTTGTTTAAAATTGCTTCTTGGGTCACAAATTCAAACCAGGTACCCAGAAGTTCAAGAGAATGTACATTTTAACACTTCAGGAATCACAAGCACCTTACTATAGCGCCCTGAAATACTGCTATTAAGGGGTACACTTCACAACAATCTAGCTACATTGTGCCACACCATGTTTTAGGGGAGGCCCAGATTCCAAATGCCAATCCAACAGATATCAAAGCCATGAGTTGGTTGTGTGTCAACAGTTTTGACATTTAGAATCCAAGTTTATATTATTCACTGTATGTTTAAAGGACACAAGAGACAGGAAGAACAGAGAACTATATAAAAGTAATACAGAAATTGAAAGATAAGGCATCCAGGGCAACCTGTTGTGTTTTTCTCTTGATGCCTGTATTACACAGTGTTCTTAAGAAGTTATTTAAGTGCAGGAGAGCTCCCCAGTTCATCACTGGCTGCACCCCAGGTAGTGTTTAATCTGCTTCTGCAGAGGTGAGTTCAGAGCACAAGGCAGGTGCTCTGTCACAACAGTGCCTCAGCACAGCACTGTGTCTGAGCACACCAAGTCAAAGGTAGCATGGGAAAGAAAGAAGAGCTGATGGGAAGCATGGCACGGGTCCCCCTCAGAGAGGCATAACCGGGGATACTGCAGAGCAGCCCTCTTCCACCTTATACCGGCTCAGAGCTGGCCCCTGCCCAGGAGGCCCTGTGGGCCCAAGCTGGGATGGCCAAACACTCACCACAAGGCCTCAGCAGCACGAGTGAGAGGTGCAGCAGAGCGGGCGCCAGGTATTGCATCCTCATGGTGGAAAAGCTGCTGAAAAAGTGGGGAAGAAGCCTTTGTTCAGGATCCACACATTTTGAAGGGGCACCAGCCCATCCCCTCAGCTGGCAGCTCCCTACAAACGGCTCCCCCCCACCACCACCATGGCCCCTGGCCCTGCCCAGCCGAGGGACCCCCAGCACCCCAAGAGAAGTCTTTTTAGTCCCTCTGCCTGCCCAGACTCCCCCGGAGACATCTTTACCTCACAGTTTATCCCGCTGCCACCCCGCTGAGGAATCCCACTCACCCACCCGCTCGGGACTACAAATCTCAGCAGACACCGCGCCTCCGCCACGGCCCCCCCCGCCGGCAGCGCGGTGCACGCTGGGAGCTGTAGTCCCCGCCATCTTCCCCTCAGGAGGGACGGCGACGCGGGGCCACCCCACGCTTTAGGATACGCTAATCCTGCAGGAAGCAGGGCTGAGGAGAAGGGCGCCTACCTCCTTCCAGCACCGCAGCTCGCTCCCGCACAGCCCCGGCTCTTCCCTTTTCAGCTTCTCACGTGAGGCCGCCGCCTCTCAACTCCCCGCCCAGCGCCCGTGGCGCGTGGTGTGGCCGCCCGCGGCTGCCATCTTGGGTGTGGCGGAGCGGGTTGGGCGTTGGGCTGGTGCCGGTGAGGCTGTGAGGAGGGCGAGCTGCGAGAGGAGGGAAGGAGGGAGGCCTCGTCGCTTTGGTTGTTTGTTGGTGATTCGTTTAGAGCTGCGCAGGTCACCGGGGAGGGCTGGGGAAGGGACGGTTTGTCATGGTGAAGATGGAGGGTTAGTGGTCAGGTACTGCTGAGAGGAGACGTTTTCAAGCAGAGGGCAAAGTCCAGGCTGCTCGTCCAGCACAGCCTGCCCAGTCCCTGCGTGACGCTGGGGTGGGAGCCCACGCTGCCTGTGCCCTTAGGACCCTTGGTTCTTGAGGAGGCTTTCTGCTCAGAGAAAGCAAGGAGCAGTGTGGGGCTCAGTGCAGTGGGTGTTGGTTTGGCCACCACTTAGAGAGACCCCTTCGTGGTGGTGAAAGTGAAAGCAATCCCTTCTCCCTGTGCCTATGGCGGGCAGCGAGGTGGCAGGCGGGCCTGCTCCTGCCTGTGTGCTGGGCATAGACCTAGGCACGACCTCGGTTAAGGCCGCTCTGTTGGTAAGGGGAAAGCAAGGGCAGGTGGTGGCTGAGAGCTGCTCCAGGGAGACGCAGGCACACACCAGTAGCCTGGAAGCTGGACCACAGGTAAGGGGTGGCAGATAGCACTGCTGGCAATTGCCTTGCCTTGTCGTGGCTGGGTTGTGTTGCTATGTTATGCAGACTTCAGTGGCTTTCCTGGGTTGTTTTTATGTTTAGAATGATGGAGATGGTTGCTGCATGTGTCTGAATGTCTGAAAGTAGAATTAAAATGCTCTCTGCTTACTGTTCAAGAAAGTCAAGTGGAGCAGCTTGTTTTAAGAAAGACCCAGGGTTTGAAAAGTTGCAAAGACAATGTAAAACTATTCTTCAATGAACCATCACCTTGTCTTTGATGCTTCCAGTCCCGAAACAGCAACTGCTTGCCAACGGAAAGGGTATTTTGCACTTTAATGTGAGATGGAATCATAACTGGAAATGCCCCGTGGAAATAACCAGGAACATGTGCTCCTGTTAAAGATCTTTACATTCATTGTGTTGGTCAGCCTAAGAAAGGATGCATCAGAATCATAAAAAACACATATCAACATTCCTCTGGCCTAGTCTTGTAATGAGTCCAGGGGCTAATTTCTGAGAAAAGATACCGAACAGGTTAACCCTCCTCTCTACAGTTGTGTTTCTGCAGTCAAAATCATGTATGCTCAGATTAGTTCATGTCTATATGTAGACTGTATTTGAATACTTCTGCTTATAATCTTCATATGGGTCTGTCACAATGTAATCTGAATCTTCAAAAGTGTGAAAACTGGAATACAGCTTCTCTTGTGGCATGGTTGGGGCAGTTTGCTGAGTACATTGGTTTGCTGGGCAGTTCTAGGAATACAGTATCCAGAATCAAAGTGTCAGCATCACCAAAATCAACAGTGAGTATATACAGAGGAGATTTAGAGGGATGTAAGGGTGCCAGTCAGAACACACAGATAATTTTCTTTAGGAGGAAAAAGAAGGGCAGTATATAAGATGAACGAATGAAAGCATGTAGTGAGCATTAATGGATTTTTTAAAAAATTATAGTTCAGTATGGTAAGTTAGGAAATTAAGAATTGTTTGGCTTCAGTTTAAGAGGCTGTTATCTTAATCTCAACTTGCTGTTACCAGTTTTCAGTTTTTGTGGTTTTGTGGGTTTTTTTGCAATTTTTTTTCCAGTTTAATAGTGAATGTTATTCTAATACACGCTATTAAGCTAAATGAATTCTGTTCTTAGCTTCAGACTAGAGTAGCCTTGTTTAATAAATACACTGAGTGAATCCTAATGGTTTCATGCTCAGAATAATGCTTTATGATTACAGGGAATGGAGCAGAATGTCCAGAAAATAATAAAAGCATTGAATGAATGCCTAGCTGCTCTACCTCAGCAGCAGCTTCAAAGAGTCAGTCACATTGGCATTTCAGGACAAATGCATGGGATTGTATTTTGGAAAAAAGATAAAGGTAACGTTAATTCTTTGACATTCCTGTTCAGAGTATTATGATGCAGAAAGTAAATTTTTAACACCGAAGCGATCTGTAGGAAACTTGCATGCTCATTTTGGTCTTCTGTAAAACAGGAGATCATCTTCTGTGGGAATATTGCTTTAACTACTGGAATTTCAGCCACTGCCTATAATTGACCATATTGTTTACACAGATTAGTTGAAGAATTTAGTTTTACAAGATCCCTGCAGAGTCAGCACAATTATTAATATGAAAGAAGAATAACATATTTGTGGCTTGCTAATTGCTTGTCCATCATATGCTATCTGCTGCCAGTTTAAAGAACTTCTGAATCATGTAAATGGCGGGGGGGGGTGTTGTTATTCACCTCACAAAACACTTAATTAGCTGTTCCCAGTATCTCAATATCCTCTAATGATTCTGCAGTAGCAGTATTAGCAGTTTTGTGTATGCCTGGAAAAATAAGCTATGCTTGATCTTTATGTTAGCATGTGCATAGCAGTAGCTATCCAATAGTGAGTATTCTTACACTATTTTAAAATGCTGTTTGAAAGTACAGTAGGAGAAAAGCTGAAATTTGCTAAATGGTGTTTTCAGTCTTTTTTTTTTTTCCTTTCCTTCTTTGCCCCCCCTTTTTTTTTTCCTAGCAAGTCATAGACTGTTGTGTTGCGTTCATCTTGCTGCTTATGTGTGTTAGTAGTAGTTAAAGGATTATGGTTGTGATTCTGAATACTTAGCTGCTTGTAGAATGAAGGACCAAGACTTCAGAAACAAAAGTCACATGAGGCTTGACAGTGCAAATATTCAGATAATCTTTGTGACAATGAGGACATTTGAAAGAATCAGGCCTTGCATAGCCAGCCTTGTGAGATAGGGATGGATTATCTTCTTGACTAACATCGTATAAACCTACTGAAGTCTTAGGCTTTCAGAATGTGGTTACGTGTCTTCTTTCTTTTTACATTATGATGTGCACATCCGAGCAATTGTACAAGTCTTATAAATAGGAGTTACGCAGATTAAGCAAAGGTTTATTGTAAACCATAGAACAGATTTCCCAAAAGTGCTGGTCACTGCCTGTCAAAAGCTGTCAGAGCTTTAATTGTTTTAAGAGACATTATGCTATTCATTACTGGCTGTAATTTTACGTTAAATACTAAAATGATTAGAAAGAAAGAAATCCACAGGCTGATGGACCAAAGGAGCTGTTGCTTACTTTCCAGCTATCCCAAGGGCTGCATCACAAAGCCTCATGGGTTCACAGTAGGCATAGATTCTTATGTCATCTTGGTTAATATTTTATTTCCTAAAGCCACATGCCACTTTTGTTTCATTTCTATCAAGTGAAAAAGGGTGTTTGCTCTCACTTGAGTAGACTAAGTGAATCCGTGCACTTTGAGACACAAATTACATTTTTAATAGCATCCTTTAGAGTTAGATTTATGGTTAATCATATTTCTTAGAATCCATTTAAAACTAGAAAAGCAAACCGATTGGAAATTCAGTTCAAACAGACTTGACAGAACAGGGAATTAAGGGAATGAGAAAAACTACGTGTTTGCTTTGCATGTTTCACATAATACTTCCCAACTTTCACGGCTGCTTTGTACTGTGTCAATGTAACTTCAAATCCCTGTGTCCAACCCAAGAAAGCCTCTTTTAGCCATATTTGTGCTAGTCAGTTAAGCAGCTGGATCTCTTCTCTGACCTTTAGGACGTTTAGCACAGCTTGAAACTTATCCCACCCCTAGCCAAAACCCAAAGGGTTGCCTCAGAGCCAGCAGGCAACAGCGTGTGGCCAGTCTTGTCCCCACACGGTGGCCAGGCATCACCTGGGACAGCAGTAGCTGTCAGAGACCAGAGCCGTTCCAGCAAAATGTGCTCGCAAACATCACATGCCAGTGCTTGAGCTCAGCCTCTGCTTAGTCTGCTGCTCTGACAGGACCGTGTGCTGCCTCTGCAGGGCTGCTTGTGGTGAGCGTGTCGGGGCAGGGAGTAGCACACTGGGCTGGAGCAATAGCAGACATTGCTGAGGAGGCTCTGCGTAGCGCTGAGAAGTTGCTATAATTTAGCTGAGGCTTTTTCACATGAATGTGAAAGTTTCATCAAAGGCATAGTGTTCTTGGGTCAAAAAGAACATGCTGGACTGGTAAAACTGAAAACTGACTTAAACCGTATTCTGCCTTTGGCGGAGCTCTGTTTTGTAGCATAGCAGAGGGATATTCTTTAGTGCCTTGCAGTCCATTGCTTAATGCATATAGATCCAGATTTCCTGTTGCTTTGGCTCAAAAGGTGATGAAACTACATGCTATCCATCATAAGCAGTTCATTACTAACACAGCATTCGCTAGGTCATGATGTGGCAGATCCCAGTTAAGATTTATATGTAAAAGCTGTCATATCAGCTTATTACCTCCCATAGCAAAATTGTGATTTTGTGTGTGTGTGTGTGCACCTGTTATTGTAAGTTGTATCATTAGTATCTCATGGTGCAAGTTGCTTGTTCCTCTAGGCATAGGAGTTCTTGTAGAGAAGGGAGGCCTTGGATACCATTCTCTATTTTAGCAAAGGATGACTGGCATTATGATGTTATCTAGGGCTGAAAAGTATGACTAATTAAATTGATTACAGTTACTCCTGGCTCTGTTTCTGGTCTTTTTCCAATATATTTGACCAAAAGTGTCCAGAAATTAATAACGCCAGGCAGGCTAAACTGCAGGGAATCACTGGACTTCTTGGATACTGTGTATTTCAGGTTGCAAGTGGACAGAGTGTGATACAGGCCCTACCTTTGAGCCAGAGGAGGTCAGTCATCTCATTACCTGGCAAGATGGCCGCTGCAGTCCCACCTTCCTCTCTTCTCTTCCTCTGCCACAGTCACATATCAGCTTGGCTACAGGATTTGGGTGTGCCACAGTCTACTGGTATTTAAAGAAGAGGTACATCAACCTGTTTCACTGGCAGTTTCTTATCTTGAGTTTATGTGACAATTACTATTCCTGTAGCATGTTAATGCCACTACAGGCTGAGGGGCTGCTTTTCTCTGTAACTGTAATGTTAATTAAGTAGTCAAAGAATATTTAAAATAGCAGTATTCAATATAAACTATATGCAACTGAGCACACAAGAGTCTCTGACCTCATAAAAATACTATAGAACTCTTTAATAAAAAGAAAAGCTTTTGACCGTATAGGAACAGAAGCCTTAAAGTACCATAGAATAATTCTAGTCTGACCTACCACTCAGAGGAGCTCTGCTAATGTGGTTTAAACACTGTAATTTTGCTTGGTGCAGATTGTGAGAAGTGCAAGCATGCCTAAAAGAGTAACAGAGTTGCTTTGTCTGGTTGCTGCCAGATGCTAAAACAAACAGTCCCTAAATTAATTTCAGTTCCTTCCCTCCTTAGACACTGAGATCCTTATGAGGTGTTAGGAATGGGCTGCTTTGTTGTGGCATGTTTGCAGAGGATATAATTTTTCACTTATGACTTGACATCAGCAAGATTTGCTCTTCAGTTTCGTCTGCAGTTTGCTATGTTTCAAAGAGCCAATGTCTTCCTCTGCAGTGAGTTCAGGTTCAGTAAATGGGGAAAAACTTATTAGATCTTGGTTTCTTCCAATGCGTCCAGCAAATAAACGGAGCATGGCATGATCTTGCTTTAGAGCTGTATAACTCATGAGTCCAACAGCTTTGTTTCGTTCCTGTTTTGTTTCACCATTTGGTACATTTCCATTCATATGATTCGTGGATCCTAAAGCAACTGCAGGAATTTATCTATTTCTCAAATGCTCCAGGATCAACAAAGCAACATTTTTTTTTCGTGCAGTTACTACATTCCTGGTAACTTTTGCAATGGCGTGCTTTTGAGCCTAGACAACTCATTCCTTAGAGCTGCTGTCTCTCCATCTTCCATTACGAGATTGCTGCTGTGGTAACAGCTTGGAAAACAAATTCCATTTAAAAAACCAAACCGACAAAATGCAGGTTGATCACAGAGATGACTGTTTCATTTTTAGATGCCACCACACACATCTGAAGTTCCCTGTAGCAATGGAAGTAATCTTGCTCCCACTGCCTTAAGGCAACCCTCATTGTTTTTGTTTTTAAAATGTTATGTTTAAAAGCCCAGATTTTCTGAAGTCTTATGATGCAGCTGGTACTATCCATGACTATGTGGTTGCCATGTTGTGTGACCTGAAGAAGCCACTCATGTCCGTCCAGAATGCTGCCAGCTGGGGATATTTTAATTGCACAAGCAAAAGCTGGAATACTGATATGTAAGTGCTAAAGGTCATTCAGGGGGTTTTGTGGGCTGCTTGTATCAGGCAAAGTGAACACCTCTTTGGGCCCTAAAAACAAGTGTGGTACAGATAAAAAGTGATTGAAAGTTATTTGTAATTAATAATGGTGTGGCCTGTACTGAAGAACTATTGAGAGTTTGCTCTGGTTTGTAAGGTATATATGTTTAAATTATACAAAATGTGGCACAGTATTTTTAAAAATACCTAAGACAGCAGAGCTGAGAGACTCGTCAGTGAGGCCTTGTATACCAAACCAGTCTCTCCTTTTCTGTGGTGGGGTGGTGGGATGGGATGGACAAGTGCGTGCTGCAGCCATCGTGTTACCTCTGATGGTAAAAGAGAGTTATTACTTTCTAGTTCTTTCAGCTGAACTCCTTCATAACCACTAAGACTTACTTGTGCTAATAGCTAAGAGTTATTAGGCTACAGGAAGTCTTAAGGAATCAGTTTGTTTATTATTTATTTTAATAATTGGCTCTTTCAGGGCTCGGTGCTAAGGCCTTACATATTTCAGGGCTTAGGTTAGGCCAGGACTCCAAGGTGGAAAGATCTGCTTATGAAGGTATGAAAGAGTGACAGGAACTTGCATTTGGCCTGCTGAACATTTACTAATGTGGTGTTGCTGTAGCAATGCAGTGTATCTTGCAGTTGACTGTGTAAGGTGTTTGTTGGACTTAACTCATTGTGATTTGGCTTTGAACCACTAACTGCATGACAACTTAAAGTTCTTTGAGACTCGAAGTTGCATTTTTTTACTGGTTTTGTGATTGACCCTTTACCTTGGAACTGCTGCTCTGTATGGCATCAGTAGGTTACACTCACTGAACATGTACTGCTGTATAATCTCAGGTAATCAGATTGCATATAAAGGAAAGCTATTTATTCTAAACTATTCTAGTTTACCCAGCCCGTTGAACTGGAATGCTGCCCCTGCCCAAGCCAAAGCTTTCTAAATAGGTGAAAGCATCCATAAATCCAGCAGCCACAAATGTATGGCCAGGTTTATCTGTGACTTCAAAGAGATCTTTGTAGTCATGCCACACATTCCTATACTGCTTTCCTGCAATATTATTGTTCTGATTGCAGATTGAAAAAATCTGGGTTTCCTGTGGACTTGCTTCCAGAGGTAGGAGACCCTGGCAGTATTGCAGGCAACACAATCTGTGCATGGCATGGAATACCCAAAGGAACAAAAGTAGGAATTGCCCTGGGAGATTTCCAATGCTCTGTTTATTTCTGTCTGGCTGAGAGGACTGATGCAGGTATGATCATTTTGGTATCTGTCTTGGTTTTGTCATTGTCCTCCAGGGTAGCTTAATAAAACTTTTTTTTTTTTTTTTCCTAGTTCTTAATATTAGTACCTCTGCTCAGCTGACTGTCTCAATGCCTTCGGGTTTCCAACCTCCAGAGACACCGGATTCTTCCTCAGCTGTTACTTATTTTCCCTACTTCGATGGTGACTACTTGGCAGTGGCAGCATCACTTAACGGAGGCAATGTGCTAGCAACATTTGTGGACATGGTGGCACGGTGGACAGAAGAGCTAGGTAAGCTATTTCAAGGATAATTTAAACTTAAAATTGAGGTTGATCAGCAAGGTACAAGGAAGCTGAGGCAAAGGAACAAGCCTAGAGCTGTTTTGTCATGCCATATAGAGAACAGGGATGTAATTCTCAGGTCATGCTTCCTTGATCTCTCGAATTTCCTGCTGAAACTTATGAACATGTTAGGACAGTCATGCTTGGACTCCACATTCACATTGCCTCTAGGTTTTGGGCTTTCTTTTGTGCTAAGAATACGAGAGATTTATTTTTTTGCATGTGGTTTTTCTAAAGGAAAAGTCAGCAAATTCAAGGACAGCCTCTAATTTTGTATGACTGCAGTCCAAAAAAGTCCCTTGATTAGATCAGTTAACTTTTGCTGCATAGTTTGCAGCACTCTAATGGATTTTGACTCAAACTCATGTAATATCTTCTAAGTGCTTTGAACATGGTCTTCACAGGTTTTTTTAATAATCTCTTGAGTTTTGCAATACGGAAGTAAGCTCTGAAATTGTTCTTTCAGTGAGTACTTAAGTGAACTCTGCATTCACGTGCAATTCAGCCACTGATTCTGCCATTAGCGTCTTTAAAAATGTTTTGTGTAACTTAGCACAGTATAGTCAAAGAGGAATAGCTGTATTATCAAGAAAGGCAGTTCCTATAATCAGAAAAAGGTTTCTAGTATCACAAATTCTAGATAGAATTGGATGGGGGAACTGTGGTTCATAAACCTGAAAAAAACATTTACTTTTGGGACATGGAAAAAGATACACAATATTTTGCTGAATAGGTGGATCAGTGTCCATTTTAAGTCTCCACATGTAAGATACTCTAGACTCCTTCAGATTACTAATGTGATATTTCCCATCTGCAGGACTTCAGGTTGAGAAGTCTGCCATCTATACAAAGATAATCGAAGCAGCCTTGGCCCACAACAACACCAAACTCTCAATCCACCCAACCATATTTGGAGAGAGACACATTCCTGGGCAGTTGGCATCAGTGACCAATATTGCTGTCTCTGACCTCACCCTGGGTCACGTTACAAGAGCTCTGTGCCGTGGCATCATTGAAAACCTCTCTTCCATGTTACCTGTGCAGCACCTGATGGAGATGGGAGTGAGGAGGATTCTGGGGAGCGGGAGTGCCCTTGCCAGAAATGAGGTGCTGAGGCAGGAATTGGCAAGGATTTTTCCATTCCCTGTGGTTTATGGGAAGGATGTTGATGCTGCTGTGGGCGCTGCCATGGTGATGTTCCACAGAAAATAAAGTAATTATTTGGAATGGCCTGAGATGAAGCTGCCTTTTTTTTTTTTTTTATTTATTATTATTTTTTTTCTTCATGACTGTATAGTGTTTCCTTTCACTTCCTTCACTTTTTCTGGACTTTTATTCAACAAGCCATCTCACTCATTACAGTGGGAAAAAAAAAATGCTTGCATTTAATGTCCACTTCTGCTTCTGGGTGTACACATTTCATTGCTCTGTCATTCCCATTTGTGAAATGAGAAATGATTATCACATTAAGTTTGACTGAGCGACTAGGAAAGATCCATTAACTTTCTGCATAAAATGATACTTCATATTCGGCTCATTTTCCTGGTAGGAAATACGTTTAGAAGGACTAGGAGAGATGAGTAGCTGTCTGTAACTTAGTTTGATGCTTTCATGAGAGACCAGGGTGTCAGTCTTGTTTGGGGAGTTCAGTGTCTCTTGCATAAAATGACTACCAGTTTTCACATGTTACGTGTTTTCTCTGTAAGGGATAGAATACAGCCTTGGCCTGAATGTTGACAAGACAATCAAAATAAAACGTGGAGAATTATCTCTGTGGCTACTGAAGCTGAGTTCAGTGAAGTAAGGTCTAAGGGCCTGGCCTGTACCATGACTGGAGATGACTGGAATGCAGGGCTCATATCCGAGTGGAAAATACATTTATAGGGCATGCAGTAACTATTTTCCTTATTTGGCATACATAATTACTTTTTGTTTGATTTTTGGTTGGTAAAGTGAAACAGTCAGAATTTGTGATAAACTGGAGGAGTTGGCAAACTCAGAGTTACAAAAGCCCAACTCATCTCTTTCAGCTTTGATTTCACTTTTAAGCCCAAATACAATTAGCAGTTTGAGAGATGGTTTGCAAAAAATAGTTTGTTCCTGTAATATAGTGCTTAGCTATCTTAGTGTATTTGATCCAAAGCTGTTTCTGATTCTGCCCTTCATGTATTATGCCAAATTGATCTTTACTAAGGCAGCTGTCAGGCTAGACTCTAAGCTGTTTTTAATGTTAAGTATTGTTCATATGAATTCCCTTAAAATGTCAAAGTTTTAATCCCCTGCTCTTAAAATTTATTTGTCTCCCCACTCTATTTTAATGTGAAAACATTTATACTTTATCTGTCTAAACGAAGATGGATGTACACCTTTTTTTCTCAAATGAGATTGGGAAGTAAGTAGGATAGTTTTTCATGCTATCTAAATCCTATTTCATTACTTAGAAGCATGTATTTTGACTGAAATATGGGCATGTATTACTATCTTGCACACTAGCAACATCAGGAATGGCTAATTTTTATAGTGAGAAAGCTGTTCTGAGATCTTAATTACAGAGATGGATGAATTTCCATCTTCCTCCACCCACCCTCCATGCATTTATTCCATACCATGTTTAGGGATCTATTGGCATATATAGGAATTACAGAGAAAGTATGGACTAAATTAAAGGTTTTGTAAAAAAGTCTGAATTTGTTACATGTTGTTTTCCATTTTATGTTAATGAAATATATTTTTATATCAGCAGATCTGCTTTTATATGGAATAACAGAAAAGAGTTGATAATACTATTCCAGCATGCTGTTAACCGTGAAATCAAGTGGTATTTGTTTCTAGAAGCTGGTAAAATTGTGGCCTGGTTTTAGGTTCTATTAACAAAGACAAGACTATCTCTGACCTGCAGGCCAGCTTTGGATACATCTTTAAGATCTCTAGTACAGCTGCTGATGTTTTTCCATTTGCAGTGCTGGAGAGGGCTCTTAGTTGGTAAAATCACTCTCAGGCCCCAGAAGTCGCACAAAGCCTATGCAGCATGTTGGATGCAGGCCCAAGAAAAAGGAATAAATTCATTCTTGTTTATTATGGGCCTACTTCGATAAGCATTCACATCTTCTTATGAGCTTATACCTGCTGAGGTAGAATATGGTATGGCCAACAACTGTTGCAAAAAGCAATGGACTACTGCTGCTCAGAAGGAAACATCTTTACGAGAAATGCAGGTGTCAAGGAGGTTTCAAAACTCAAAATAACAGAAAGCTCCCAAGGTGTGGACATCAGAACACAGTAAGACTGAAAGGAGCTGATACCTGGAATGGGAGAAGAGAGAGAAGGAGCATTTAGCAAAAAAGACCAGCAAGAAGCTAGAGACTGATTAAGGCAGACCCTCCACTAATCCTTATAGTTTTCTTACCAAGTCTCTGAAGGAGTTGATCATAATGTTGAACAAGATGCTCTGCTCAGCAAAGCTCCAAGAGCAACAGCTAAGGACCAGGCTGACTGGTAATCTATACTTATGCATTAATAAACAGGCATTTTATTTCTTTTGAGTACAATGCCATAGGGTATTTTAAGTAGTATAATTAGTTTGCTATTAAAGAGGAAAATATTATATTGTACATATATAGATAGCTAGATGGCAAGACTGGAAAGATAGTTACCTTTTGCAAAACATAAACCAGAGAATTTAATTGAATACTTCCATAACCTAACTCGAAACCACAGGAGTTAGAGGTTTGGAGGTTGCTTCTGGCCTAGTAGCTACAACCTATGGAAAACGGAATAGAAAATAGAAATGAATTTTTCTCCATAGGAAAATGGAATTAATTTCCTATGCCTGCTGGAAAAGCTGTTCCTCTAGACTAGTTTTTGACAGAAAGATCTTATGTAAATTGTGTGTTTAACAATATATATAACAGTTCTTTTTTAAGGGTGTTAGATCCATCCTGGATTAGGTAAGAATTTCTTTTTCCTAATGACATTAATATTTAAAAGCTGACTGATATTACTTAAATGAAACATAGTAGGAACATGGACCAATAGAATGGTCTTAGGACTTTCTGTCACTAATTCTCCCAAAACTCTGTTCAGCATCATCTTTAAAATACCTGGTGGGGCTTTACAGCAGCCACCCAAGAAAGATGTCCAGAAAGATGACTGATCTCAGAGAAAAGCTGTGGCATATTTTACAAAGTTTTGTAAATTGAAATGGAACTGTGACCTACAGAAACAATAGTTGTGCAGTGGTTTGGGGTTTTTTTGCAAGCTTGAGTGTATTTACAAAGAGGAAATCTGGAGAAGAGTATCCATTACTAAATGCAATTAAAGGGGAGGGAAAAACAACAGGAACTTACTGTAATTCTTACAAAGAGCTTTGCTAAACTCCTGGGAGTAGAAGCCACTGATGCTTCTGGTTCCAGAATTGTTCTTAATGAGCTTGTTCTATTCTCTGTTCTTCTAGTGAACTTCCCTTGATTCTAAAAATCATCAGGCACTAAACACTTTTGCAGAGAAATGAAGTGGAGAAGCAAATTCTGAGGGCTTTTTAATCCAGGTACCTTCGATGAGGAATATTTGGCACCACATTCCTATAGATCAGAGGGTGTTTACTGAGACTGGACTATTTTACAGAAGACAGGATTTTTTGCAGTATTTGTAAGTTCTGCATGTCTATTTGAATAGTGTGGTTGTTATTTGTCAACTCTTTATTATAAATTGTGATATAGTTAGATATGTGTGTGATATGGTTGGATAGGTATGATATTAAAAATATTTATTGTATCAGACTTCAATTCATGTAGGATTCAAAGAGTTCAAGTAGGTTATGCATTTTGTAGGATAGAATTTTTTTTTTTTAAAGAGTCCTTCCACATAATCTTGAAGGTTATTTCCCTTGCAAATTCATACTCTTGAGCAAATATGGCTTTATCTTCATTATCAAAGGTTTTACCAACTGGGTTTAGAAACAAAAGCACATGTAATGACTAAACTAGGTTTGAGCACATTGCCAGGGAGACAGGATGGAGTCTATTCTGCAGATGGTAATATTGCACCTGTTCTGTGGAAAATAAGTGATTCCATTTTCCACAGTCATCTCTCTGATGGGTTTGGCTCAATCCACATTAATATAAATGAGACAAAAAGTTTAAATTATACATGGCTGTATTCCCAGTCTATTTTTTCCATTTTTTTTCTAAAAATATTTTTATAACTTTTACACTGCAGTAATTGTTCTTCTGTATCTTCAGTATCATATTCCAAACTGAAATATTTTTCTATATAATTTCTTATTCATAGGACAATTAGGTTAATAAGATATTATGTTGCTCTTTTAGAGTGATTCTAAGGACACAACTTGAAAGGTGAGCTCAGAGGACACAGTGAGTTAAACTGCAGCCATTAGTATTTTGTTTATACAACATTGTTTTGCTTCCAGTAACCCTAAATATGCACATTTGCAAAGTGATGTTTTCTTTACATGTATATTGTACAAAATCATGAAAAATGAAAATGCCTGGCAAAAGTTTCTTTCCTATCCTACAATCGCAGGAAAGCGTAAGTGAACCTTAATATAAATATTAACTAGTCCCATAGAAGTGAAAATCTAGCTTTAATATACAAGGTGGGTTTGCAGAAAACCCCTCTGAATATTTTTGTGAAGACAACCTTGAAGCATGTTTATGATGTTGTTTTCACACTGAATGTTGACCACTGTAATTTGGTTAATAATTGAAGGCTTTGTACAGATTTTGTAATATTCCTATGCTCAAATGTGTAAGATTTCCAGCCAGTCTAGGATTTCAGAGTATGTTTCTAAGGCTGATCAGCTCTCTCTAAAAGCCAGCTGTGCAGCAGTTCAGCTATGATGCATTCCTGTCTCTCCTGCTGGAGTTGCAGAATATTCTGCATTCAGTAGTATGAAGACCAACTTTCGTCTGAGTAAAACAGTTTGATAAGAAAGAACAAAAAAAAAAATCTTGTTCTACTTTCAGTACAGTATATTTGTTAACTTGCGTCAAATTCTTTGTGGTTATAAATCAGACAAGATCAGATGTGTGGTCTCACAGTCGCCCCTTTCTGTTTCCGTGTCTCATGTTTGAGGTGACACTCATCTACCAAGAATCACACACCACGATTTTCATCTAGCACTGCTGTAATTTTGGTAAAGGCATTAAGTGATAATTTTTCTATTTGCAGGAAGTCCTCTGTGCTCAGCATCCCTGACATACGGTTATGGCACAAGCAGGCTTTTTTCACATGCCTGATACAATCCTGAGAATATGTTGTGGCACAAACCAGTTAGAAAGTAGAGAAGAAAAGCAGAGGTTGTTCAGGCTTTAACAATGATTGAAGGAGGATGAGGCACTGGTTTT